TGTTGCAACGAAACGAAAGAAGAAAACTGTATTTACTGTTTGACATGAACATAAATAAAAATATCGCAAAAACAATTCCATAATAAAACAAAGACCTCTACATAAAAGCATTAAAAAATCGGGGAAAAAACAAAACACATAAATGACATAATTAAAAAAAACTGCTCCGCTTATACGTCAAAAATATCAAACAAATGAGGAATGAGAATCCTATATTTACACGATAAATACATTTTCATAAATTTTTTGAGGAAAAAATGTAAAAAAAAATTTCAAAAGCAAAAAAAAATTCATTGTAGACACTTTGAGAGGAAGAGTGGTTAGCTCAAATTAAAACAAGATTTTTGAAGTTCGGCTTCTCAGATCTCATTCCTTTTTGTTTTAAAATATTTTGAAATTCGAAACTCGCTCACTGCTAATTATAGTCCAGGAAGGGGTTTTTTTCCTGATCTCAAAGTATCTAGAAAAAGGAAAAGTGAAAATTATAGACACATCAGTAAAGCCATAACCAAAGACTTATTATTGCTTTGAGCAGTCTGTTGTAGTATTCAGGTATGAAATTCAAAAAAGTGTAAAAATTTCTGTTATTATCAAAAAACATAACAAGTTTTAATTCAAAATCTCGAGATTTAATCATTAAATTCATAGCCAACCACCGATTAAGAGTTTTTTCAAAAATATTTTTTTTTTGCAGATTTTCAAATTAAATTTTTTTTGATCGTGTACTCTGGAGAATGACAATGTGCCTCGAAAAATGACATTCGAATAGTAGTAAGCTTATGATCAATGCGTGTGTAAGGTGCATTTTTTCTAGATAATTTCAGAGGCAGTCTGAATAGATTCCGAATTTTTATCGACATGAAAAAAAAACGATTTCTGGATGGATTGACATATTCAGGGGCCACCAATTCCAGTTGAAGGCCCTTACAAAGAACCGATTTTGAGTGAAACATATCTTCAAACCACCTATGAATATGAATTTCTAAACCGTAATTCTCATGAAGAAAAAAAAAAAATGCCGGAGCAAGAAGATTGTCCGAGCTCTCAGTGTGGATATTCCATGTTAGTAACGTTACCGGGATAACAAATAGCAATTTCAAAAGCGATCTGCTGCAGTACTACTCTTATAACATTTTAAATGTTTACTGGAAAATTCACTGACTACAGCGAAAGCCAAAATGCATTTTACCTACGGAAATTTTAAATGCACAAAAACATCCAGTGAATTTTTCGTAGAAAAATGCAACACAAATGCGCTGCCGCCTCGAACCACTAAAATTTTCTTGGAATTGAAATCCACAAATTCCGTTGAAAATTTTCATGCAGTCTATTCATAGTTTTCTCAAATTTTAGAAGGAACAATTCACTTGAGAAACCACCATTTAACAAAAAAAAATTCATAGAAAAAAAAGGAGAAATAGAAAAAAAGCGTATGGCAAACCATATGCAATTAGAAATGCAAACTATTAGCAGCAGAAAAGTAGCAGCAGGAGCGATAGCACAGCTTCTTTTTTCCCACGAATGCATGAAAAACGCTCGAGTAAACCACAGAGTCTGATACACAAACAATCCGAATCAACAATCACAAATAACAGCAACATGCAAACAACTTCGTCCATTTGGTACCTACAATGAAAAAACGATGATTGTTAGTAGTCCGAATGCCAATTTTATGGTATGTGCCTTGTTTGAAGAGGTAAAAAATTGCGACAGAAAAATTCGTACTAATAGTATCAAGACTACCCGGGTGCTGGCACTGGTATCCTATGTTAGTGATGTTACTTGAATTGGAATTTTGTGAGAAGTATTTACTCAAGCGCGAAACACGAATTCTACTTGGAACTTTCCTCTACAGAAATTGAATGGGAAGGTGAGGAAACGAACACCAGGATCAGACGCACAGCGACACAGCAACTGTACAAATGCTACCGACTACACCGGGTGAGGTGAAAGGGCGCAACGATGAAACGGCGGCTTCTCAAAGTGCCCCGACAAAAAGTAGGCGATCTGCTGGGTCAGCACAGAAAACAACCTTATAGCTGATATCTGGACACTAATGCGTTAACGTGAATCATACTCTACCCTTTTTGATGAATACTGTCTCAGCAGTCTTGCCGATAACCGATGGGCGTCATGTACTAGTGAGCGGTGTCAGCCAGAAAGTAAGCGGACATTCGGGCAACCACCAAAGAGGTGACACGCATACTTCTTTCTTTCAAGCAGTATGTACTCACTGGAGAAATGCAACCTAGGACTGAAGGACCTGACATTGTTACACCCGTCTGTGCAACAGTGATCTCTCCAAAATGAAAAATCTACATTTGAAATATCTAGATTCGTTGAGAGAGTGAGACAGAAATCTATGTATCTTCCTGATATATTCTCGCGACGAATCTGTAGTCAATCAACATGCTCTAATTTGCTCTGTGGAGGATATTAGAATCGAAGGGGGAAAAGTCTGTACGGTACAAGGCTCTCTATTCCTATTCAATTCCATTCTGAAGGTTCTAAACGCGAGGAAAATTTTTTATCGTAAGCTCCGAGGCTTTAAAAATCTTGCGCATACTCACATTCATGTTAAGGAGCAAAAACTTCTTCAGAATACTTCACCCTGGATGAACAGCACTCCCAAGGGTCTTTTATTATCCAGGAAAAAAAAAAAAAAACAGGATGTATTGTTAAGCTAAATACGTTCGGTGACTACTACTGCTAGGCGAAAAGGAGCCGCGTGACGCAACTGTATCGCAATAACGGATAATCTCTAAGTTCTTCAGAGCCATTAAGGTGGGATCTGCTACATAACCAAAATGAAGTCATGTGACGAGTGCAGTTATGCCAGATGACTTTGTTTTAAACTATTCGGGTCGATTTTGCACCTGCCGCCTCAACAGCGCACAAGCCCTGTATGAAGTTTGCAAGGTAATCACCCTCCGATTGCTTATTCTCTTTGGTACCACACGCTGCACCCTCTTCCTTCCTCCCTCCTGACTGCTAAGGAAACAAGCAATGAGGGTAATAAATCACTGGAAACTCTGCTAGCTTAACCCTCCCATTGCTCTTTAACAAATGTAAACGACAGATTCATTATCGATGCAGACTGTGAATTCCTCAAATAACAAAAGCCAAAAACCTAAGAGTAGCGTCTGTTCCCGCTCATGGCGCAAGATATAAAGATTTCAAAGATTTCTAACTCTAAATCCTAGCCGCTTCTTTCAATTATGAGATATTGGTATATAATCTGTAAAATTTAGTAAAATCTTATCAGAATTTAACACAGAAACATTCATGAAGGACGCTCCTATGTTGTATTTGGCATACATCGAACATAGCATAAAAATTGTGTCGAAAATATCTTTTCGACGATGTGTGGGTATTTAAAAATAATAAATTAGTGAATGTAGTTCGGCAGTAGTAAGTTTTTTCAGTTTTTTAAATTCCAAGAGATGAAAGATTTTAAATGAATTAAATTATGAGAAGACCTAAATACAAAACCGAGGAATGAAAGAAAAAAAGAGAAATGAAAAAATATGCGAAAATTACCTGAGTTACAGAAATCGGCATCACGACACTGCGTCCAAAGATCGGTAACCAGTAATAAGATTTGCAAAGATAAATAATCATGGTTAAAAGTCACAAGAACAGCAAATGTCACATGGATTGCATGTGCTGTAAGGGAAGCGTCATGTGCCCTTCCATGGTACTATTCAGAGCGGCATACTGTAAGCGTGGATCTTGTGGCATATACATGTTCATTGTTGCGGCCGCTGCTGCTGCTGAAGCTGACGAATCCTTGTGAGGTTCATAGAAGGCACGAAACTGTGAAGCAAGAGCGGATTCGGATGCTGCCGCTGCAGCAGCAGAATCCGACGATTCAGTGCTATTCGCTCCCGTATTGGTACCATCCGAGGAAGTTTCCGGTTTCACCGGCAACGATACACCGGTAGCACCGCCGTAATGCTGTTGTGCAGCAGCTTGTTGATATTGAGCAGCTGCAGCTGCAGCTAATGAAGTCGGTGATTG